TGTTGTCTATGCCTGTAGTTTTGTTGTGTTTCAACTCATTTAGTGCTGTCTCAAATTCCTCTTTCAAAATGGGTTGTCCTATATTTTCCTGTCCTGCATATTCTTCTTCCATGGCCCATTGTCCCGCATGTATATTGTCATTTCCATATAACTTTTCAATATATTGTTTCCATACTTCTAATTTTTTTTCCCTTCAGTAATTATCTTACCATCTATTCCTCTAAGTATAGTGGCTTTATCTTTGTATTCTCTAAAAAATCGTTTAATGTTCTTGTACGCTTTATCACTCAAGCCTTTTGTTAGACAGGAATCAATATCTTTGCATATATTGTTTAACCATTCCTCTTTGGCTTTCTTCGCTTCTCTATTGACCAAGTTTCTATACTTTTTATATTCTGACATTCCCTCTTCACTAACCGCGTTTTTGTATTTTCTTTGTTTTTCAATAAGATCTATAATTTCGTTGTTTATCCATGGTTTCGTAGGCATTTCTTTAGTGAATTTGAGATGTTTTTCCGCTGCTTTTGTCATCGTATCCCTTAATTTTTCCCATTCGACTTTGTCATTATCCTGGTTCTTATTGCTATTTGCTTCTTGTAATAGATTATTTAATTCTTCATTGAAATCACTTCTTATTTCTTCATTCTTTAGTTTATCCATGCGCCATTTTCTTTTTGTATTTTCGTTGGATTCCTTTCTTTTCAGGCTTAAGTTTGTTTCCATTAACACTAGATTGTGATCACTGTTAATGTTCGCACCTGGGTAGGTTTTGCATTTTTTACTTGGTTTTTATATCTATTTCTTACTAATATATAATCTATTTGATATCTCGCTCTTCCTCCCGGCATGGTCCATGTATATCTTCTTCTTATCGGTTGTGAGAACATTGTATTCGTAATGATTAGATTTCTTTTTTTGCAGAACTCAATTAGCCTATGTCCTCTTTCATTTCTTTTGCCTAAACTAAACGCACCTGTAACTCCGTGTTCTTTTGCCTCCCCTACTATAGCATTCCAGTCTCCTAAAAGAATCAAATTTGTCTTTTCGTTTGTCATTTCTATCACCTCATTTATTTGTTCATACATTTCCTCTATTTCTTCGTCTTTGTGAGTTGAGGTTGGCATGTATACTTGTAAAATAAATGTATCAACAGGTTTAGTTTCTATTTTAATAGCAATTATTCAATCATTATATTGAACAATTTCTACTACTTTTTTTCCTATTTCCTTGTTTAGTATGAAACCAACTCCTGTTACTCTGTGGTCATCTCCGCTAAATATAATTCTGTAGCCTTCCGACCAGAAATCTCCTTTACCTATCCATTTTAATTCACTTTTTCCTATTATATCTATTTTAAGTCGTTCCATTTCAATTTCGAGGTTCTCCAATTTACCACAGATCCCTAAAGACCTTACATTCCACGTTCCTATTCTTCTTTTCCTTATTTTGTTCTTCTCCTTTAATGAATACTTAGTAGCATTAGTCCCCGCCCGGAGATCCGAATGGGGGACTATTTTACCTCCGGAATTTTTTAATTCTACTGTATCCATCATGTCATTATCCTCAGGATGTATAATGCAGTAGTTTCCTCTTACTTTCTGCATCGCAGTTGGCGAGCCAGTACTTAAGCTATCTTCAAGCTGCCTGCGCCAAATCCTTCCATTGCCGTTAGATCCGCTGCGAAAATCGTCAATGGTCGGTAGTAGCGGTTACTGCAGCCCTCCGCTACCTCCTTTTAATCGCCTTTTACGATAAGCAGGAGTTACTGTGGTCCTATTCTAACCCCAGACCACAGGGGTAATATATTATGTATATTTATGTAAATAATTATTATCATAATAAAGTATTATTTATGTTGATTCCTAATATATTAGATAGTACCTAGGTAATTATTATTTTAAAATAATTAACCAAAAACACTAATACTATTGTGTTTTTTTTTTGACATAAAAGTGTTTCACTCCCGTATAATTTATTTATTTATTTATTATTAACAATACGGGCTGAGCCCAATTTACATAATATGATAACACTTATAACACTAATTAAATTTTATATATGATAACAACCATAAAAATAGTGACTATTACTAATATACTAATTTAAAAAAATGAAAACCAAAAAAAATAAATAAAAAATATAACAATGCTACAGAAATGATGGATCATTATTTGCCATACGCATCATTCTAAGAATTGGCTGGTTCTCAGAATAGTTGGTGTTGCATTTAGGAATAAAAAATGGATAGATTTGACGGACAGGAGAGTCAATACATCCATCTATTATTAGGCGGAGAAATTTCAGGTTAGCAATTTTTCTTCTATCAACTAATGAAAATAAACCAAATTTAATTAAAATTGGGTTATAATCATGAGGTGGATGGTCTATCTTTAAAATAAATGCTGCATATTTGAGGAATTTACGTTGAACTCTTTCAATTTGATCCTTACCACAAGAAGTGGAAGGATCCCATACAACAGCACCATATTCCAAAATTGACCTTACGTAGGCACAATATAAGATTTTTATGGGAGAAGTTAACTTAAACTCATTACAAATTCTTTTTATAAAACCAAGCATTTTTAGGGCCTTGTAGCATATATTGTCCAAATGGGAATGGAAATTTAACTCTCGGTCAAACGTGATATCAAGGTCCAAAACTTTATTTTCAGATCTCTTTAAAGGATTAGCATTGATAGAGTAAGAATACTCAAATCTATCACGAGTTCTGTAAAAGGACATTGAATGACATTTCACAAAATTGAGTTCAAGATGATGTTCATTTGACCAAGTAACTAAAGAGTTGATATCATTTTGTAGAAGATAACAGTCATTAAGAGAATCAATTTTTAAAAATAATTTTAGATCATCAGCAAATAGAAGAAAATGACAGTGACTAATAACTTTTTTAATATTGTTAACAAATATTGCAAATAGTAAAGGAGAGAGATGACCTCCTTGAGGGACTCCAGAAGTTGCATCAATAATAACAGACTTACTACCATGAACATCAACAATTTGCTTACGATCTCGAAGATACGACTGAAACCAAGACAACAACGGTTCTCCAAAACCAGAATTGAGCAAAACCTCAATTAGTAATGTATGATCAACTCTATCAAAAGCTTTGAAAAAATCCATATATATAACATCAACCTGGGAACGATTATTGAATGCATCAAATACATAATTAGAAAAAAACAATGTTACAAGTATTAGTTGACCGGCCAGAACGGAAACCGTGTTGTTCATCGATTAAGATTGAACTGACTGCAGGACCAATTGATTTTAAGACTAATGAGTCAAATAATTTAGCTATATGACCTAATAAGGAGATTGGACGATAGTTGGCAACATTCGACTTATCCCCCGATTTATAAATAGGTTTAACGGTGCTAAGTTTTAAAATATCAGGATATATTCCTTCATCTAAGGACTTACGAAACAAAAGTGACAATGGGTAGGATAATACTGATTTTAACATGTACAGAAATTCACCAGAAAGTCCATCAGGACCAATTGTCTTGTCACCGCTCAATTTAGATAAACCTGATTCAATAAAAGATAAATCAAAAAAGCAATTACTAGGTAAATCATAAAATAAATGTGAGATAGTTGAATAATGGTTAATACTGTGTTCAGTGTAAACAGAACTAAACTGCTTAGCGAATAAATCAGAAACTTCTTTTTCATTAGAGCTAGTAATATCATTAAAATAAACTGTTTTAGATATGTCATTGCATGATTTATTTTTTTTTATAAATTTCCAAAATACTTTGGGATTAGAACAGAGTTGAGATTCAGTACGTTCAATAAATTTTTTATGACAGTTTTTGGACATTAGTTTATATTTAGAACGAAGTAAAGAAAATTCACGATAGTCTAGAGGGTTACGAGAAGACTTAAAGATAGCATGGGCTCTTCTCTTTAAGAAAACTAAGTCAATTAGGTCCTTGGAAAACCAAGAAGGAAAATTAGACTTAGTATAATTAACCTGAGGAACCCATTTCAGAACAGAAAAATGCAAAGCATCATAAAAAGTAGACATAGCTAAGTTAGCATCAATATTATTAAAAGTTTCACTCCAATTAAAAGAGCTTAAAAATTCTTTGATACTTGAGTAATCTGCTTTGTGAAAATTAAAAAACGATTTAGATGTATTATATGAAGGTAGATTAGAAGTTGAAATAATGTCAATAGACAGTGATGGGTGATATTTATCTTCTGGAATCGCAGGTGATACCGAAATTCGTACGGCTCCCGCCAAACACAACGTGCCGCCGATATCTGTGTTGTCGCCCAATCCGATGCGGGTAAACGACTACAAACGGGTCGCGTAAGGGCGCGAACGGGTGCGGAACGTGCCCGTTAAGATCCTCGTCGAACGCGTCTGGAGGTGTGCGGTGCAGGGACTGGAGGATCGGTGGTCTGAACTCCAGCGCACACGTTCCCGTAAGACTCGCGATTCGCGTAAAAGCGGATAAAAGTGACTACCCTCTGTGCAAAAACCATTCACATAGACTTCGCATAGTTATTACCTTGTGATATTGGAAGTTATAAAATAGTGACTTAGGCTGTCACAAAGATATCTCTCGGATGCCAAACGCCAGGTTGAGTGATGTTATAAATGAGATGTTATAAGATTAAGTCTATAGGACTTCGCAAATAACTTCTTACTCAACTTCTATTGGATGTATACTAACATCACTTAATAGTTAGTAAATAAAAAAAAGACTTCTATAGATCATCACATAATGATAACAACTCACTTACATGTTACATTTAAACTTCTATATTTACTTCACTTTGACTTCTCAAAGAAATAACAACCTTATATTATTGTTAACACTGCATTTATGAACTACTTATAGCAGTTTAAAATTGGTGTAGATTAGTAGTTTAAAAGAACTTTTAATTATATCATAACAATTCTCTAATATAAGTATATTCTTTTTTATTTATTAGAAAGGACAACATTTGAAAAATTACAATGTTTTTATATTTATAATGTATTTGTGACATATCAGGTAAGAAATAAAAAATAAAATAAAAATTGTTAAAAAGCATATCCATTTATTTATTAAAATAAAAAAATTATACTTCTAATAATATATATAAGAAATAATTACAAAGACAAATTTTGATTTAATTAAATTTATAACAAAAGTAGGTTAATAGGTTACCTACATAATAAACCGCCGGAGTTTTTTTTTTTTTTTTTTTAATGTTTTTTTTTCAATAATTATTGTCTAGGATACTTGATTATTATTATTTTTTCAAAAAAATTAAAATTGTATACTTAGATTCCGAAAAATTTGATGTTGCCATATGGCAACGCTAGGCGTTTATAATATAGTTTATAGCATAATATCAAAATAACACATTTTTTATTATTATTTCTCATATAAAATAATATTTGTATTATAAATTAATAAAAATAATACCTAATAATAAAATAATTACAAAAAGTATGATTATACATATTTTATTATGGCAAATGAAAAGGCACGAAACAATCAATACACAATCCTAAATTGCATTTAGAACACATTGTCCGAACTATAGACTTACAAGTTTTTCCTGCACACCGTTTTTTTTTTTTTATCTTCAGTTTGGCAAACAAGATGATCTATTTTATCATATCTTATAGAATCGGATATACGACTATGTGATTGTGAAAATGATGACATCGTGGGTCTCCCTATTCCTTTAGGAATGACTTTATATTTTTGTAAGTAAACATTTACATGCTCTCTTCTAAACACAAGCTGGGATATTTTTTTGTTGCTTGTTTTGTTATATAATATCCAACTATTTTGAAGAGCCACATCAAACATCCAAGTAATCAAAGGCCAATACCATTTCTTACCTCTAATGCCTATTCGATAGCAAGCTATATTTTGATCCATTTGATCTGTACCACCCATGTATGAATTATATTTGGAAACTAATTTTGGTCTTGATACCATTATATTCCGTTTACCTTGTTGACTATATCGTTTTACCTGTCCAATTTCTTGTGCACCACATGAAGATGAAATCATAGTAACTACAGCATTATCCATCCACCTCAAATACAAGAGTCCATCTTTTCTTTCAATAGCCGTTTCAAAATAACCACGATGTTTTTTTTTAAAAAGTTTCTTGTTAGTCAAGGGTCATTTTTTCGGAATTCTATTATCACGAATAGTTCCAATTGCAGAATATCCTCGTAATTTCAAAAATGAAAATAAAGCAGCACCCGAAAATAAATTATCCATGTAGATATTATATTTAAATTATCTTTTATTTTCAGGAATTTCATCTAATAATAATAACAATGGACTAGCAGCTTTTCCAAATAAATGCTCATAATCGGTATTAGATTTTGGATTTTTTCCTTGGTATAATTCAAAATTGATTAAATACCCATCCTTTGTATTTAAACTCCATATTTTATAGCCAAATCGTATCGGTTTACCCCTAATAAACTGTTAGCAGCCATGTTTTCCAAAATATTTCACCATGCTCTCGTCATAAGCCAAGTGTTCTTCTGGCACAAAATTATTAACACAACGGTTTTTTAACATTTCCATCAAAGGGCGTACTTTCCAACCTTTATCACTGTGATTAATTTCTGAATTATTGGCACAGTGAAAAAATCGACATATTTGTAAAAACCTATCTCTACGCATTGCTTGATTTACAGATATGTTTTTCAAATCATCAGAAGAATCCCAATAGTGGCGTTTAGATGGCAAATTATTATATTCACTTAGGTATAAAATTGCTAAAAAAAATCGAATTTCGTCACCTGTTATATTGGGATCGGAAAAATTTAAAAATAATGCGTAATTTTTTGTTTCCTCGACTAAATACATAATAATTTCTTCATCAATAAATTTTTCAAAAATCTCTATGACAGATAAATTTTGATACTTGGAATAATCTGGTGTAGGAAATTGTGATGGTCTTTCAATATCGAAATCAGCGTTTTTGATCCAGTCTGGATTACGTTTAGATTTTTTTCGATCGGCAATCCACTTTTGAAATTTGTCAGGTAGTAAAGTAGTAGATGAAGTTAGGGAAGTCTCCTCGTGAAGTTGATAAATATTCTGAGGTTCAAAATTATTATTATCCAATCCTATCCTATCATTATTTGGGAGACGTATTTCAGCATTGGCTAATAATTGACGAGATGTGAGATTGTCGACAATACTATGAATAATAAAAAAAATAAAATAAAATAAAAATAATAAAAATATAGTTACAACTTATATGACTTACCCGCCCCCGTCGTCATCACCTGAATCTGCGTCAGTATCGACATGTGGTTCGGGTGGTTCTATAAAAATATCCCCCTCAAAATCCTCATCCATAAGAATATCAAGTGCTTCAGACAGCGTAAAACCATTTCTAATTGAAAATAAATACTAATATTAGTTAATCAATGACCATAACCGCCTAGCGTTGCCATTTGGCAACATAATAATTCAGTCAAGCATATTGAATTCAATTTTTGAATGATTTTTATATTATTTATAAAAATATATAGCTTAGAATATTTATAATCAGGTCCAGTAAAAAAAATTAAAAAAAATCTATTTAACATATGATAAAAATTACTTACTCAAAAGGAATATCCATGTTAAGCCGGGTTCCCTCGGCGCGTGGCTCGTGGCTCGGCGCGTGGCTTGGTATTGCGCGGTACTGTTCACGAGCCGTGGGATCGGTGTTGCTCGGCGCGGCTCGTGTCTATCCGAAAATTGTCGGTTTTTGGTACCCGAGTCAAAGGAAACCACGGCTCGTGTGTATTGAACGACTATCTTCCACGCCGCGGGATCGTGTAGGACGCGCCTAGACAGGCGCGCGTGGTACAAGTCGAATAACGCGCCACGCGCCGTGGGATCCTACCTTTACACGAACAGCGTCAATTGTAGAAATAAAACAATAAAATATCTCATAATAACTATAATTGTAACCAAATATCGATAACGAGATTTAATCTACACATATAAATATAGCTATACGAATCATCAGAATCGTGATAAGTATATTTCCTAATCCACAAGAAGTTTCCAAAAATAGGTCTATTTCCGTTGCCAAATGGCAACGCACGGCGCTAATGGGTTAACCCAATAATATAATACCTGCATACAAAGTAAATAAACAATTTAATATTAATAAGGCAACTTCCTTTACATAAAAAAAATCCATTTGTACTTATAAGTTTATAACATTAATAACAAAAGTACATAATAATATCCCATATATTCAAAATAACCAACAAATATAATATTAAAGAGTTAATACTACATATTCGTAACAAATAGTTACAAAAATAAATTGTAATCAAATTATATACATACTAATTAATAATATAGCACTTATATACAAAATAATAAACACATTTAATATTAATAAGGCAACTTCCTTTACATTTTAAATATATATTAAGCAATGCATTTGTATTTAAAAGTTATTTCATTTATAAAAAGGAATATACGAGTAATAATGTTAAAGGTATACAAAATAATTTAGGTGTGTAATAAAACAGAGACAACAGCTTTTTCGTCAGAAATCGGTATAAAAATGCATTTGTATTTTAGTGCTAATAAATTTATAACAGTAGGATTTGATACAGATATGGTATCAACATAAATAGAGCCAACAACACTAGACAAAATTGGTGTATCAAACATTAAAGTTAAATTATTATATTTAATTACTTCTAGAAAAATAGAGCCATCCTGGTGTTTACCAATTGATTCAATGCGTACAATGTCATTGGTATCTAAAATAGAATATTTATCACGAATATTACTACTACTGACTACAAATTTTTCAAGAATAACTTGCTCATACAAAGTTACAGAAGGATCTTTAAGATATACGAGTAGTAGGTTATAGTCTATTTCATTTTTCAGTATAGGATAATTTGGCACATTTTAAATTTGGATATTTTGAAATTCAACAACTCTATTGTATACATCTTATAATGGATATCTGGAATTTTTAACAGTTTTTTTTAATATTTGTAAATAGTTTTCATATTTGAATGCACTAAAATGATCAAGAGGACCATGTTGAAGTGCAAAATCAGCCAAATGAATTAACCCATGTACATTATATGTAACATATTCATGACCGTATAAAGTAGGATATTATAGAGAAACAAATGACACGAGTAAATTTTTTGCTATAGTATTATGTGTGGTATACAAATCATTGCTAATTAAAATTTTTATTGCACAATGTAATAACATAAAATGTTTAAAAAGTTGTTTTGTTAATCTTCCTTTTAATACAATTAATGAAGTATACAAAAGAAAAGACCTAAATTCAGTAGCCTTAAAAAATTCTAGTTCATCTAAACTTCGTGGTAATCTATTAAATTCTGAAGGAAAGTCCAATTTTGGAATAATACTTTTTAAAAAGGTTGAATCTTTTTTAATTATTAATAACAAAGGCTTAATTTCATTAAAGATAAATAAGTTACAATCATTTAGTCCAGTACAATACAATAACATTTGTATTTGTGTATAATATATATGACTAGGTTTTAATTTTATTTCGCCATTTTTAATTTCAATATAACTTAAGTTTGATTTTCCTATTGATTCATCAATTATAGGTTTTTGTTTGCATGAGCTAGGACATTTAATTTCTAAAACTGAAGAAATTTGTCCATTTGTTAATATTAGCCCATCAGGACTGGCACTAATCCATGGTCTACAAATATGAACAATTAACCCACTTTTAATCACATCAATATTGTACATGGCACAGAATGCTTTAAATGCTTTATCTTCAGTTTGTAGTCCATATTGTACATTACTAGCTCCTTTTCCTTTAATTAAATGCATATTTCGTAGATTTAACGAAACTGTTTTTTATTTTTTCAAGTTCATGGTTCAACAAAAAAAAAAAATTAGGTACACGACAACCGACATTCCCGTTTTATACATCGTTTTACAAAATCAATCGATTCTTCGGCGACTATTTTGGTATTTCTCCCAACGATACGATAATCTTCGTTTGCACTGAGAAATCGTAAAAGGCGATTAGTGCCGTTTATCCACTATCATAACGCGCGTTAAACGGTGGCCAAG